GTCCTGTGTAGGTGCCTTAAATGGACCAATAGAGAGGATAGTAGTATCGTCCCCATTTTACAGGTAATAATACACAGGTATGGAGAGATAAACCAATTTGTTAAAGATCATGGGGCTAAACAAATTTTAGAGCTGTTAAATAGCAAAAGTCAACCAAGTTAATTTGAAGATCTAATTGACTTTATTAAACAATGATTCGTGAGTTGGTCAGCATCCCACCTAGCAAGTTGAGAGGCACTCCAAGGAGCTGTACAAAATGGAAGTTTTGTATAGAAGGAGGGTGGGGCAAAAAAGTTCTTAGCAAAACAAAAGGATTGTTCCAGTGATAAGAGTTTTCTTGGGTGGGGGGAGGGGAGCAAGGTGTCCTATCATGCAGATTACTTCATCTTTCTTTGAGGAGTGGAGAAGACCCAGGTGTCAGACTCATTGGCTCACCTTAAAAGGAGATTGAAACTGCAATTAGATGATAAATTAAGCACTAGTTTGGCAATTCAGTCTAAATGACACCATTTGGGGCCTTTTTCTTTTCTTTTTCTCTTTTTTTCTTTTTTAAACAGAGCTAGATTTGTACCACAGAACTCTGTTCAGAGACTAACTCACACAGTATTCTGCCAGAAGCTTTTGTGGAAACAATGGGTTAGCTTTAAGGTAGAAGGGCACACTTCAGTCAACCAACTCTGTTTTTAATTACATGCTTTTAATTTGCAAATACTTTATTTCAGACTTTATTTTATTATTACTATTTTTTTATTTCAGACTTTAGTTATGGTATATGGTCAACGGATGTAATGTAAAGGATACGTAAAATGGTGTGTGTAGTGTATGGGTGGGTGGTAACTTAGCACCTTTGAAGAAGTAGAAGTAAAATAAATTAAAACAAAATGTGATAGCAAATGGGTACGAATCCAGGGGCTGCTGGGATCAGTACAGGAGCATAAGCTGGTTTAAACTGGGGTGGTTTACTGGTGGCATTGTAGTCAGAATCTTGCCCTAAGGACCGAACTGCTGGCATTGAATGGACAGAGCTGGGGCGGGCCGGGGGAGCGGTGGGGGGGAAGGAAGACATCTGTCATTTAGACTCGCAGATGAATCCTCTCCTATCCATCCACTGTCACAGCTTCTTGTGCTCTGTTATTTCTGTTTTTAGGTCAAAAGTCTCTTGCTGGGCTCCCTTCTTCTGCTTTCTCCATCTCCATCCCTTAATTCACCAATCCATTCTCCACACTGCTGCTACAATGAGTTCTATAACATTCAGACCTGCTTCTCTCATTTTTCTATTTAAAATTCTTCAATTGCTTCCCCTTGCCTTCAGGGCAAAATCCAGACTCCTTAGTCTGACATATAAGGCCTTTCATGTGTGATAGCCATAAATATCTAAGTTACACTGATGAGCAAACTCTGATGAGCAAAAATGTAACTTTCTTTATTTCAATAACTCAGTTTGATTTTCTGACTCTTGGAGTTCAGTCTGCATAATGACAGCTTAATCTAGACATTTCCCAGGTTGCTCTGTCCAAATCATCCATTTTTCAGTCAATTCAGGTTTGAAATACAATCATAATCAGGTTGTCTCCTATATGTCCTCTTCCCTGACCACTTCTCTCAATGGGATATTTGAGGGGTAGAGGGCATGGTAGAGGGCAGCCTGTGTATCAGTTCTGATCTGAATGGGCTCCAGGCTGGCTTCCTTATAGCGATACCAATGCCATTTCCATAAACTTGGTCATACTCGGGGATATCGGGAAGTTCAATATCCCTGCCCATGTGATCTGTGAGTAGAGACTTCGGCAGGAATCCCTCTTGCCCTCCTTTTCCTGGACCCATTACCCCACTCTCTAGCCTCCCTCATCATGCCCTCCTGCCCACTATCCAGCGTGATAGAGTTCAAGAAGTAAAGAAATATCACTCTCTGCACTCAGCTCCTGCCAAATTAACATATACGAGAAACTAGTAAATAATTCTATCATGTACCTCTGTGGCCCTAGGTTACCTTGGAGTGGGGTAAAGAGGATCCTATACATCTAATTCCCCTCCTACTCTCAAAACATGCCCTCTTCCCAGGTGGTAAGACGTTCCTGCTCTTGATGTGTGGGCCAGAAAATTCTTTAGATTTGATGGCAATTTCTTTCAAACCTATTCTTATTTTACACTCTTATCATAATTATTTGAGGTGGGAGGCTGAGAATTTGCTGCATTTGTTCTCTGGGTTGAGCCTAACAATTCCAGTCTGGGGACCCAGGGTTCATATTTTGAGTGGGAAATGCTGCTTAAACAGGGCTCGGAGAAGAATCAGTGATAATCCATGAGTGAATATCCTAAATTATTATTCTGTCACACACATTCACCTCCTGCTTACTTTTCCCAGATGGATCTGTTTCTGTTATTCATCTTGCAACACACATACACATACATGTGCTTCACTTGCCTAACTTTTAATAAACTGTTAATATTCAGCAAAGGGATCATCATACAACCTATGAAATCTGGATGTCTTCTCTGACTGCCCACCTCACAACAGCCTGAGTTTGGTGTCCTTCCTACTGTCTCCTAGAAGCTTGTGTTTATCTTCACCATGACTCTAAAGTGTTAACATCATTTCTTGTTATTTCTTCACCAGACTGTGAACATTTTGAATTTAAGAACTCTTCTTTCATCTCAAGGTAATCCGGCTCCCAAGCCCTAACATTTAACTCAATTACTAGCATTTACTAGTTCTTTGTATATGTTGATTGAATGAATGAACAAATGTCCAGCAGAGTAGAATCTAAATTATTCAGAATACTGTAGGGAAGAAGTCCTGAAATAATTTTTTGTTTGTGTACTCATTCCCTGAAAGAATGTTGAAAATTAACTCCTTGCTTATTTTTAAAGTTGATATTTAAAAAATTTTAAGCTTAGATAATTTCAAAGGGTGTAATTGTCAGATTGCACTAAATATTGAGGTTTTAAAATAAAACCATTGCATTATTTTAAGTGCATCATATGGATACAGATATCACAGTGATTTGGTATCTTCCACTATTCATTTAACAACACATTAAAAAGTGCTTCTTAAATAATTAGAATTTTTATATCTTCTCTTTTTTCCTTGAATTTATATTTTAATTCCAAATTCATTCACAGACTTTTATCCTAAAGTAATACCCTTTTTATGGTTGCAAATTTTTATGGATCACTTATCATTTGTCTATGCATCAAAAAAATGTAGTTTGAAAATTGTTTTTGTTAGCTTCCTGCAACCATTAACTCTAAGTGTTTTTTTAAAGCTCTTATTTGTATTATTATAACCACTATTAGTGATATATACTTGATCAAAGCATAATAAATAAGAAATCCTGATAATAAAAGTAAAAAGTAAATTTATTGAGACTGCATCTCTTAATGAAAACTATTGGGGCATGCTTTTATGGCACTTCTATTAAAGGAGCTACAAAATTATTCCTTTGGCACCCTAGATGGTTTTGCGTGATAGTAAAATGCTGAGTGAGGGGTACACCTTTTATTGAAAACAGGGAGAAATGTGATGTTAAGTAAGAAGTGAGGAAGGAGAACTTGAGGACTGGCCCTTTCTCAGGCAAATCAGTTTTTGGAAAGAGAGCATATGAAATTTGAGGATCTGGAAATGGGTTTTCTTAAATCAGTTTTGAGGCACTCAACAGACAATCTTTGTAGGTATCTGTGTACCTGACTTAAGGTCAAAACCCTTGATCTAGAAGATCCTAGTATCGTTCAGGAAATAGAAATCTTTAGGAGAAGTTTTAATGGATGAAATGTGTTTACTTTTAAATAATGCTAAATAAATAATTAGGGAACATTTCCCTGTAGATGTTTTGAACAATGGAATTAATGAATCAAAGGGTATTATTTCATATCAGTACATTGAAGGATTCTATGCAAGTATGTAACCATATACCACACAATAATACTTTATTCTCTCGGGTAAGGACATTTTTAGATAACCTATAGTCATTTCTTGCTTGGCAATTTCCTTTGAAAAGATCATACTGAGATACACTTAAACCTAATTAAATAATAAAAACCTCAGAGCTAGTAGAATTTAATAAATAAGATGCCTAAATTGTGGTTCAAGTCACATATATATGTAAATATTACATGTTAAATAATTTTTTCATTAGAATCTTTTAAATAAGTTGAAAATAGTTTCTTCCATTTTCAACGTTTTTCCTACTCTGAGCAACATGATTTTATATGTATATTTGTTATTTATTTCCACTAGCTACCACAAATAGGTGAACACGAGGGCAATGCAATACTGGGTTGACTCTTAAGTATGTGATTGTAAACATTTAACAAAATATACTCATGTGATGTTATGCATATACTTTATTTATAAAACTTTTACATATTCCTATAACTGTAATTTAAAAACTTTTCCAGTCATAGTTGAATGCTTTCTTGCATATTACTGTGGCTTCCTCATTCTCATTCCCTTCCCTACCTTGTCCCACTTAAGTCATCTCTTTTTTTGTTGTTGTTATTTTTGTTTTTGTTTTTTTTTAATGCCAAGTCTTGTGGTGAAATGTCTAGGATAATCCTAGTGCAATTATTTTTACAATGCATGTAGACTTCTCTCAATCTATTATATATCCCCAAACCCCACCAGAACATCACTGGACCTGGGCTTTAGCCCTCAAGAGTGAATGAGAAAGTGAAGGGCATGAGGCATAAGAAAATTTCACTCCTCATTGTTTCTGTAGTTTTGTCTTCTAAAGGCCATCTTATAAGTATTGTGACCCTTGAATGCATTCTTCTATAGGATGAAGCAGACCAACACTCTGGCTGCAAACAGTATGTGGGTCAAATTTAAAGGAGATACCAATGGGCCAATCTGTGGGCATCTCGGAAGAGATGAGGTGTGAATGAGAAGCCACTGAAAATTTTCCCCACAATATTATCTTATCAGGAAATCCTGACCCACAAGGCTGAATGCAGTCACTACCCTTAACCCCTCTACAGCTCACAGTCCAGGTGGATCACTAGCCAAAGCTAAGGACACCCCAGCAACTTAGAATTGGTCCCTGTTCTCACTGTCAACAGGTAAGAGCTTAATAAGAGTAGTGAACATTCCCAAATTCACATTTTGGGGAGAGGGAAAGGAGGGAAGGAAAGGCATGTTTTTAAAATCTCCAGTGGAAGTTCATAAAAAATATATTTTGTTATAGTATTTCATGTGATTGCCTTCACAAATACTAATGCTATAGCCCTATATTAGTTTATTAGACATTAAGAATACTTTTATATGATAGTCTAGTAATTTTCTTCCATTTTGAATAATTTTGTTCCTAAGGAGAAATATTGCATACATTTTAAAGAGTGAATTTTAAGTTAATTCTAGTGAGAAAAACATTTTATATATTGGTTACTATCTATACATGTATGTATGTTTGTGTATGTATGTGTAAGTATACACATATACATGTATACATATACATTTATCAATTTAAATTAAAGATGATTTGTGAACAGAATGAGGGACATTTGTATTCTCTTAGCATTGGTACTCTGGCTTCTAATTTGACATTTATTTTCTTTAATACTTTGTAGGCAGACCTTTTGCATCTCTGTATTATTGAGGACTCTGCCCCTGCCATTAATCACGTGATGACTTGAAATCATAGAAAGGAGATTCATAAATAATTAAGTTATAGAAAATTGCTGATTAAGGTACGGTCATGCCACAGATTTGTCTGAGAGGAGAGTAAACAATGTGAATGGGTGGGAGGGGAGACTTCTAGAAATAACATCAGTGGGAAGGGGTGGTATTGATTACTGATTGTCCAGTTAAGTCTCTCTCTCGTTTCTTCCTGGGCACTTAGTTGGTCAGCCTCCCCTAAGGCAAAGTGTGGCCACTGAAGGTGAGGGAAAGTGAGTTGCAACTTTTGGGTCGCTTGCCTAAAAGGAAATCTCTTTCCTTGGATTTCTTTTATTTTCTTTTCTCTTTGTTTAAAACAGGGAGATGCCCACATCCAGCTTCAACTACGCAAGATGAGGCAGGCCCATGGGGATGGTGGGGCCATAAGATTGAAGGAACTTGAGTTCCTGAAAGACTTTATGGCCTGGGATTCCTACAGACTTTTAAGTAAGAGAAAAAAAAAAAAAACAATAATAACAATTATTATTATTTAAGGTAAGACAACTGTATTTTTTGTTCTCTTTGGTGTCACTACATTATTACTATTAAGGGGTTCTGGATGAGTCTGTAGTAGAGAATAAAGTCTCAGGTAATATGATTCCATGTGGTAGATATGCCAAAAAACTCGGATCTTTCAGAAAGAATATAGATATAGGAAAAGATAGATAAGAACGGCCCATAAAAAGGGTGAAATTTTTTAGAGAACTGTTGAGAGTTAGAAGAGCTTGTGGGGAGCTTGTAAGCAACTTTGTGCCAAAAGATGGGAGAAACTAATTTGAGGCACTAAAGCAGTGCTTCTCAAACTTGAGTGTGTGTCAGAACCACTGGGAGGCTCTGTGAAGACACAGATGGTTGGATCCCAGCCCCAGAGTCTCTGGTTCCTTAGGTCTAGGGTAGAACCTGAGAATATGCATTACTAACAAGATCTCTGGTGATGCTGATGCTGGTGGTTGATTGGGGCCACACTTTGAGAATCACTGCTAGAAAGTCTAAGGAGACTTGGGACATTTTCCAACTTGACATGTTGGTAGTTTTTCAGAGAAGAATTGACCTCTCACTCATCAAAGGAGTTGCATTCAGACTGGGAAGACCACTCTGATCATGCATTGGATACTGTACATGGGGAATGAAAGGAGACTCATAAATCTGTGAAAGCCAAGTCTTCATTAACCTATGCCAAAATGAATTAAAATATGTGAGAGACTACGCATCTGTTATCTATTAATTCTGTTTAGAATTTGACCTTAAGTATCCTTTGTATTTATAATAAAAGAATCTTCTTTTCACATAATTACTAAGCAAATGGGTAAGCATTCTGTTTTAGAGTAAAATCTGTAAAAGAAAAGGGAAATGACTGTGGATATTGGTCTTTGAAGGAGAAATGACTACAAAATTAAGAACAAAAGGTCTGGAGAGATTGAAGCAGTATGCCTTTTTATTTTTTTAGTCCATGACTTTTATGAACTTTATTATCTATCAAATATAGATTATTTAGGACCTGCCCACAACTAAAAACTGAAAATCATTGCTCATGCAGATTCTGAGCTGCTGACTTGTTTCATGGGCTCTTTCTGCCAACAAGTCCGAAATTCATATTTCAGCATTCAGAAGATGCCTTTCACTATGCATTCTTGGTCTAACAACCATATTCCACATGTTGGTCCCTAGAATGTACATTGCTGCTCTTTCCTACTATAATATTAACATTCTTTTAAAATATTACAATAATAATAATAACCTTTTTAATGATCCCTGAACATATGTCCATGTGGAATATTGGAGGTACTTATTTATAAAATGCTTTCCAAATTCTATTAATTAATTAAAATTCATTTGTACTATAATTCAATATAATGAATAAAAGTTATAACAATAACAGGTAAATTTTGATGCCACCAACTAATCACTGTTTTCCTTTATTAGCTTGTGTAGATACACTTGGACTCAGGCTCAGGAATGACTAAACGTACTATAACTGACCTAGAGATTGCTTCTATAAATGCCTTTTTTTTTTTTAACCATGAAAACTTCTTCTTTTCTTTTTTGGCACTTATCTTCCATTTTAATTACCTGAAAACTTATTGTATCTTTATGATTATGTAAATATTATCCACCACCCCTAATAGACTGCTAGGAACTGGAAGTTAGGCAACATGTATGTTGTATTCATCATGGTATCCTCAGCGCCTTACATAGTACCTGGCTTATAAGAGGTCAAACATTTGCTGAATGGAAGAATAACTGAATAAAGGAGCTATGAATTGACTACTCTTATGCTATTTAACTAGGCAAATATATATATTTGTGGGTGTGGTTTATGTATATGTATACAGACACACACACACAAATGCTACCTTGGATAGTACTCTTTCTTCCTATAAATTTTGCAATGTTTTAATTGAAATTAGATAGTTCCTTTCCTATTAACATATATAGAAGAATCATGATAGTCTTTTAACAGTTCATACCTCCTCTGCCTAATTGCCATTGCTAAGTGGTTCTATTTCTTTATATTCAGTAATATATTAAAAAACTTATATAACCATTAGCTCTTTTAGACACACACGCTTGGGACACTTATTTGCAGTGTATTACCCCTGCTGAAAGGTTTTTCTGTTTTTCTGTTGGTTTTTGTCCTTGGATGGAACTATTTGGAATATGTCCTTCTGCCTTTTAGTTTTGGTTAAGCAAGAATCTATTCTTTTATAGTTATTTCTACCCCCCCCCTTTTTTTTTTGGTTATAACAATGTTTCAGAAACTTCTGTTCTTTTTCAAAAACCATTTGATCATGTGGGAATTGGAATGTTACATTTCAAAAATTGAACACCTCATCCTGAGAAATGAAAAGCTTTGAAATGGAGGTATCCGATGTCCTTGCATTTAGACCAGAGTTCAATCTGGACTGACTTGAAAGCTGAGACATCAAAAGTATACAATTTAGCTGAGTTTTCTCAACCTCATCTTTGAGACACCTAAAATGCAAGTTTTGCTCATCTGCCTCTTTTCAGTTCCAATATCTTGTTCAGTTTCTGAAACATAAGAATCAAGGTTCTATGGGAAATTATCAGTTAATTGAACCATGGTTGTTGTAAAAATGAAGGGACAGACCAGTAATAATAAAAATCAGGATAATTTGAACAATTTTCAGCTTAATTTTCATCATTCGTTAATTTAAGTAATTTATATTCAATATACTTTTTTCTCTGAATTATCTCATAATCAGTGTTTAATATTTTTTTATCTGATACATGTCAGTCTGATAGCTTTCTCCTACAGTGTCTAAGGAGCTATTTACACATGCAACCATTGTTATTACTTTAGTTGACAGCAGAAAGTTTATAAAGCTTTATTCAAAAAGTCTAATATGCTATGTTTTTACATCTCAGCTATTTTTCTTTGTTTTTGTTTTAAAGGTTTTCTAGTATCAACATATGACCACATGCTCTTCTTTAAAAAACAAAACAAAACAAAACATTTTCATTATGTAAGTGATATGCATTCATTGTAAAAATGTGCCTGGGAGACAATATTAATATATTTCAACAAAAATGTATTCATATCAATAATCATGTTTTGTCTCTTTTCCAATCAGAATGGCCACCTTCATGTTTTTTTTTAATCAACTTTTCAGATTTTACCTATGAACCTTTCTTTATTCTTTTCTGAATATAAGAAATGCTTATTTTCTTTCCCATTACGCTAAAGTTAAATCATGCCTGGAAATGACACTTAAGTCCCTGCTTTTGTGAGAAGCATCTTTAACCAACCACTTGTTTTGATTTCAAATTGAACATATTGTTTATACCACACTTTCTCCACGTTTTAAACAGCAGATATTTTAAAGCAATTACTATCTTCTTCCAAAATTATAAACACTCTCAGGTGATTCTTGTGACTTGCCAGCAAAACAGATACACATAAAATTGCAAAAGCCTAGGGTTTATAAAAAATAAAGCATTCGAACCACATAAAAAATAAAGCATTAGAATCACACAAATGAATTATTTTTGGTAGAGGTAGAGGTAGAGAATAATGCAGATTGATATACTTCAGTAATATTCAGAATATTTGGTGAGTAATTTTGGTGCAATGAGGTAGACTCCAAGCAGAGTGACAATTTTACTGAGATATAAGTGGCAGATATTGTAATTTAGCATTGCAGGAATGCATAAGGGGAGTGAAAGCTTTGTGTTGAGGGTGGTAAATATCTATGTGGATGTTCCTTAGTTCACTATAGCTTTCCACCCAAGCACTGGGCTACACATGAACAGGAGAAGCTTCCTAGGCCTTCGCAGGGAGAGGCTCCTGCAGGGATGAGGACTGAACAGAGCTACCACACAGGCTGTTCAGGGCTGGGAGGTGCTGTTGTTCTAGCAAAGCTGAAGTGAAGAAACTTCACTGAAGACTCAGGGGTCCGGTTGAGACTTCAAGAAGGCCAAACCTTAGGGGCAAGGACCATTCCTAGAGTAAGGAAGGCCAGACTGTAAGAGGAAGAACCCAACTGAGCTAGAACTGCCCTAACAAAAGATAAGACCAAATCATATGGGGACCCAGTCTTCTTCCATCCTGTGTCCCTTTTGTCTTCAACACTTGGCTTTCAAGGTCTTCATGTTTGTTTAGGTTAAACATCTGGAAGAAGAAAACTATGAGTATTGCACAAGGGAGATCTTTAAGGAATCATGAAAGAAGTCCACATTTTTGCGTTCATATTCCATTACCTAGAACTCAGGCTCATGCTCATAGGAAACACTGTGAGAAACTGGGAAGTGTGGTCAGACTACGAGCCCATAAGAAATAGATTTATGTTTGGTGTGGAATTAGACAATCTCTGAAACAACTACTATGTATATTGAAGAGTGGAGGGCCTGTTGGCAGCTGGGGAAGAGAGAGAGAGGCTGGAAGGCATCCATGGCTATGAAAACAAAATCTACTCTGGATCATCCATCTGCTCTCCTATCTAGGAGCAAGCACATCATGCTCAAGCATAGCTGCTCTCCTCTTTCCCCGTCACCCTCAGAGAAAATATTTCCAAAATCGTATGAAATTCTATTAGGTGATCTCACTTTGGGCACCACTGTGCTAGCTCCAGAAATTTCATTTTCTCTGAACCAGTATATCAGCTGCTTTCGCTTAAGTTTGCTGTAGGTCCAGATAGATGGAACCAAAAGTACCTTTTGTAGGACTTCAGTCCCTGCTCTAAACAAGAAGAGGCCCCGCATCTAAAACGTTGCCTTTTCTGTGATACAAGTATGCACCTAAAGCCCTTGCCCATCCAAACACACAATAATTCATATACAGTTTCTTTAGATACTTAGTGGTCAGATACTTATGGTCAGTTGAGAGTTTAGTATGTGAACTTACGTGAATGATCCAAAATAAATAATGTGCATATCTATGGCAGATGAATGTAAAGACAAATA